TAAATTTTACGGACACCATCACGAATTGGTTGATCCATACGATGTGTCTTTGTCCAAACTAACTAAGGACATTTTTACCACGTGTTAGATTGTGGTTTGTCATTACGTCGTCTGATCTTTTAATTACCGAACGTGACTTATTCCCGATTGTTACTGTTTTGCTGAGTGTGAAACCGCATTACTATAAGACGTGTCACGGTACTTTTCTATCCCAAATTCATGTATTTAATTTTGATGTTATATTTGTTATTCTCGTCGGATTTTGTCAAATGTCTTAACGTCTTTTCTGTTATATTCGTGTGTTATGGTAAAGATAATTAATCACCCCTTCATTTATTAGATTTTAGTTTGGTTCAACGAAATTTATACGATATATTTGGTTTTCCAGTTTGATTCAGAAGAAACACCGACATAGCTAGATAATACAATTAATTATCTAATTACTACCACAATTTGATATTAATAAGTATTGTAATTTTCGTTGTTACTAATAAATGTAATGTCAGTATTACAAATCAAATCTTGAATCAATCCTAATCCTGTCTTATTTTTGGGAAATATTTTTACAAATTCAAATGTGATGTCACTTTGTGTTTTTTTTTAGAATTTCAAATTTGACGTCACTTTGTGCGTTGAGGCTTTGGCTAACTCGGCTGTGTATTTTTATGTGTTGGATTAAGTTGTTTTATCTAATGTATCCGTTTTTATTCTGTAGTTAGTCCCCACTTCGGTTTTATCATGTATATCTATTATATAGTCATTTTATAAAATTTACTGTTTGCAAAATTATAAATTATTCTAAATAATAAGGATGTTCTTGTCCCAGGCAGAAAACCCTGGCCGTGTTACGCGCAACTTTTTGGAAGTTTTGGTCCTCGGTGCTCTTCAGCTATGTACTTGTTTTGGCTTTCAAACTTTTTTCATCTGAGCGTCACTGGTTGGTCTTGTGTGGACGAGACGCACGTCTGGCGTATTGAATTTTAAGCCTAGTACCTTTTGTTAGCTATTATTTGTGTGTTTCTTTGTCCTATATGTTCTCCCATTTATTTGTATTGTGGTCCTGTCATGTGATGTTGTCGTTTTGGTGTTGTGTTTGACGTTGCCATAAAAGCGGGAGGTTTGGCATGCCACAAAACCAGGTTCAACCCACCATTTTTTTCTTAAAATGTCCTGTACCAAGTCAGGAAAATGGCCATTGTTATATTATAGTTCGTTTCTCTGTGTGTTACATTTTAATGTTGTGTTTTTGTTGTGTCGTTGTTCTCCTTATATATTTGATGCGTTTCCCTCAGTTTTAGTTTGTAACCCGGATTTGTTTTTATCTCTATCGATTTATGAGTTTCGAACAGCGGTATACTACTGTTGCCTTTATATACCAAGACTATATTTTTCAATGACACTTAAAGATTTTTTAAAGAGTATATTTCTATCTTTACATGTGTTTGGGGCAAAAAGGTTTACAAAAGTAAATATATTTTTATCAATTTCTGTGTTGATTAAAACAATTCTTCCGTCTTGATCTACATACTTATCTATGATATCATGCTTGATTATTTTGTTCATGTAAATCGAAACACCTCTTGATTGTGTGCTTCCAGAACTATGATATAATTCTCCCGTAAATTCTTTATCTATTGAATTGTCCGAAAAATGTGTTTCTTGTAAAAATATAATATTGCATTTCTGTTGTTTCATTCATTCTTTTAGTCTAATTCTTTTTTTATATTTTCTCAACCCCTGACAATTAAAAAAACATATATGTAATAGATTAAGTGACATCTTGTTTTTTTTAAAGTATTTGATACATATATGACAAATAGAAAAACAAAATATACAAACAAATATTTTCAACTACAGAATTTAGAGACAAAATGACAATCATACGTATATCATGAATGACAGTTTTAGCCTTTACTCTGTGAGTTGCTAGTATAAATACATGTACACACATGCATTTAATTTCATATTGACCGACTTTAATAGGTTTCCACCTATTTCTATATTTAGAATCGTTGACTGGTAACACATATTGACCTTCACATGTATAACAATTGATTTGCACGAGGATCGACTTTAAATTAACATACCTTACATGAAGGTAGTAATGACCTTTACCCTCAGGCGTCAAACGGTCATTTTCGGCTACCGTTAGCGTCAAATTGGTTAAAATTTTATCCTCATTCGTCAAAATATCCTTATTGTCAGAGGTCTCAAATAATTATCGTTACCGTTATTTTTGGAAAAAAAATTAACGTGATTCGTCAAAATCAGTCGTTTGTTTTATCGTCTAAAAGAAAGTGTACATTTTATCGTCATGCACCAAAAATTACCGTTAACGTCCTTTGGCAAGAAGTTTTACCGTTATTCGTCATGAAGGTACCCCCATTACAACCCTCTTACATAGAAATATATAACTGTGTTGGATGTAATATAGATATATCTAAATGGGTAAGTATTGAGTTTATATTTCATGATTTGTATATTTTTAAAACACTGTTCAGAAAGGGAGACGTTAATAAAAAAGTTGCAGAAAAAAAGGAGATTATTATCAAATACTTTCGCATGCATATATGATAAATGTACAGTAAATATATCTGTTTGGTTTGCTAAGGATGGCTTTACTTAGCTATAAAACCAGGTTCAATCCACCATTTTCTACATAAGAAAATGCCTGTACCAAGTCAGGAATATGACAGTTGTTATCCATTCGTTTGATGTGTTTGAGCTTTTGATTTTGCCATTTGATTAGGGACTTTCCGTTTTGAATTTTCCTCGGAGTTCAGTATTTTTGTGATTTTACTTTATACAATTATTTATCAAGTCAAGGAGATCTTGATAAAAATAGTTACGAAAATTTTTAATACGATGAAGAACTATTATATGATTTGGTATTGAAACTTTCGCAGCTACAACTAAAAAATGATAATTATCTGTATAGAAAAAAAGGTATAAAAAGATCAAGCTGATTTGTTTACATTTTGTACACAGGTGAGTGGAAATGGCGATGTAATCAATTTGCATATTTATATAATTATAGATAAGTGCTATGGTTATTATGTTAACAGGATTATACAACGTAACGCCATTCCCATACATTAAAACACAAATTTTTACATATGCATGTATAACTATACTAATTATTTCATATGAAAAAAATGTGATCACTTTCATGATCTATATATGTTATATTGACAAAAATCTATATACAAATTATTTGTTATATTTGTTTGGTGCAGAGTATATACAATCTAAGGGTATTGTATCATACACTGCCAAATATTTTTTAAATGTTTTTCGTAAGTATGGATAAAATAGAAATATTAACAGATATTTATACAAGTACAAATCATTTTGTTCATTAAGTTAAGGGTAAATAGAAGGCATGCATTGATAGAGAATATATTTTGAAAGGAAATGATATATTGAAACTGTTCCTGGACCTATGTCTTTGAAGATTTGCTAGAGTCAGTTTCTCTATTGTGATATTCATCTTTAGGGGGTTGTTGCTGCGCTTTCCCCTTGTTTTTGTACTGGTGTTGTTGATTCAGAATTCACAATAAATTTATCAATTGGACCTTTTGATTCTGCTTTTGGCTTGTTTTTTGTTTTGTCTTTTTTTTTCTTTTCTTTTTGTTTTTTTTCCTGTAAATCAGGATCAGTTTCTGTAATGATGACTTTACTGACATCTGTTGTTGTTTCTGTTATTGCTTCTGTAGGTTGCAATATGGACTGTGAAGGTGGGGTTTCACTATGATCAGCATGATCACCAATGTCAGTCTCATCCCCACTTTCACTCTCACTAGAATCAGATTGATCATCATTCTTATTTACTTCATTGTCTGATGCTGATTTACTTGGAGTTTGGCATTCCTTTGCTTTTTGCCCTTCTTTTCCACATTGGTTACAAACCCAATTATTTTGGCATTTGTCTTGTTTGTGTCCTTCTTTCAGACATTTCTGACAAGTAATGTATGCATTTATGTAGATCTGCCCTTTATAGTATATTTTTGCATTGTACTTGCCAATTTTTGTGAATGTGGGTAGTGTGCCTTCCAATGGCTGGACATAAAAGATTCTGTCTCAAGATTGGCAGTCAGTAAGTGTGCCATCTATTCTCACTCTCTCTCTGAAATAGCTTGTAATGACTACGCCAATAGACTGAAAGAACGCAAAAATCATACCGTCATCAGCTGATAATGGAATGTTGACACACGTACTCTGAGGTATACTGGCTGCTCAATTACAGTGATTCTTGGGTTTATATCATAGACTGTTAAACGTTTATTACGTATAGATACACCAGTTGTAACGAGGTGAACTCTTGCTTCTTCTTGTGCAAGAACAATACGCCACATTCCCTTGACTCTTTGTAGCCCTTTCATTTGGAATCTGGGTACCTATGTACCGATACTTTTGTATACTTCTTCATGTGTTAAGAAGTCTTTTTGTTGGAGGTCTGTATTACAGAATCAATCTGTCTCTAGGATGAATATAGGCTTTACTGACGACAGTTCTTTAAGAACTTCATGTATCTGGTGAATGACATGATTTTGATATGCTGGTTTTGATACAACGTCGGAATATGAGTTGTTGTCAGCCGTGTTGTTTGTTTTGGTTTACTTGACTGGTTGGTTACATTAAATTTATGGTTTTAAGAGTTTGTTAAATTGTTAAATATACTTTTCTACCATTCATGATTATTGTTTTCTGTAGCAACATACAAATTGGTAATCCTAGATGAATACTTCTGTGGTTATTTGACAAATTTTTGGGAGCACGAAGAGTTCCGTGGATATCATTCGATGCCCCGTACGTCCTCTCCGTTAATTCTACTCCTCAACTTGTCTTGTTGCTGACCGACATAAACATATAAAAACAAAAACACGGTTATTTAAACTTTTTGATGAGTCAATCATTTTTATAAATCATTAACGTAATGCAATGTTAGAAAACCTTTAAGTGTTTGTGTATACACATTTGGTTTAAATGTAAATTGAACGTTTATCGTCTTACCTGACTGCTTATGGATACCATATGAACTATTTGCCTTTGTTCTATGTTATTTATATTTTCTAACCTCACAACACGGTCGATAGTTAATGCAACATGTGCTTAGTTAATTGAAGACTTTACTGTCAGGACATGGGCTACTTACAAGTATTTACTAATGCTATTGTTGTAGCAGTGATTGCTATGTACATGTATGAAAATCAAAGAAGAAATGGGGAAGTGTCAGCCAGACTTGACCGAATAGGTATGAGAAGTAAAACAATTAGAGGACAAACAATACAAAACAAACAAAACTGTATTACACTATTTTCTACGACTTATCTATAGGTAAGGAAAACATGTATTGGGAAGAGTTTGGTCCGTGTATATTTGCGTCCATTCGTTTTTCGTTTTGATATATTAAAAACGAAAAACGAAAGTGTTTTTCGTTTTTCGTTTTTGATTTCTCTAATACCAAAACGGAAAACGAACGTGTTTTCATTTTTCGTTATAGATTTCTCTAAAACCAAAATGAAAATCAAAAGTGTTTTCGTTTTTCGTTTTTGATTTCACTTAACAACAATTATGTTTTTAATTTTAATTATTTCTCGTTTTTTATTGTACAATGTTTTCCTTTCTTTGATATTATGCAATATGCCAATGTAATTACCCCGGTGTTCTTTTAATATAATGTAGACAAAATAGACCGCTGACTTATGAATTGAACTACGGTTATTGAATCGGTGATAAATGAATCAAAGACTTTCAAATTTCCTTGTTTTTATCTTTAATAAAATTTAAATCATTATATTTAAATATTAAATGCATCACAAATTTAAATTGTACAATAAAGTATTATATAAAGATGGTAAAAACAAAGAGATTGATAACAACATCACATTAACAAGGGAGGTGACTACTTTTAAAACTGATAAGAAAACTAGCCCGGTCGTTAAAGTATACATGCACAGCGGTTATCAGATCAATAGTATGTAAATCGAAAATAATGTCGACGGATGGAGAAGACTTCTTCAATCTGAACAATAAGGGTGATCTTTACTTTCAAGTTTGGAAAGATTGATCTAAGATGATTAAAATTGATGACCAAGGTTTATCTGCCAGTATACTATTATACGAACATTCAGGACGATAATGTGTTTTGATTATTAAGATCAATTGATTAAAAAACAAATTTCAGCAAGTTCACAATTCAAACCGGGATTAGCATTCAATCATTTTGAGTTTTGTTCATTTGTGAAGGCTATATGGTGACCTATACTAGAGGGTGTGGTTGGGGATTTACGGGATAGAGAATAGTAGCCAAAACAATAAAGAATAGAGACAATGGACCACAAAATAAATTAAATAGAATAATGAGGTGTTAAAATATAAAGAGAAGAGAATAATTGGCAAAAAGTATAAAGAACAGAGAAAAATTGCCTAAAACATTAAAGAATAGAGAAAAATGGCCTAAAATATTAAAGAATACAGAAATGAAGAACCCCGCATCCAGACCATCATACTAGTTGCCTAAACCAACGTTATTTTGTCTCCGGTAGACTGTTATTGGTTATTATACGTTTTCTCTTTATTTCTATACCTATCAATTGAGACGTGAGCTTCCATAATTTGCCAGCATATGGTTACTTAACTTCTTTTGCTTCCTTGTGACAAAATGGAAAAATCTTTATCTAATCATTGCGTCCGAAGCACATTTCGGGTTTTATCTTTATCAGGATCGTCAAGCGGGCGAAAACAACAGTACAATTCACCTATTGGTACTTTAGCGGCGCTATTCTTTCATTTTCTTGTGCGTGTTTTGTTTTATTTACATCTATTTACAAAACCTGTCTATCCGCCGCTTTCTCCCGTGCAAAATAACATTACTTTATTAATGGTCACCCCTTTAAGATAAACAATTATGCAAAACACCCCATATATGACATACAGCTACCGACGACAATAACAGAATAAAAAACAGGCCAATATATTCTAGTGATACTCACCCACTCACACCTAGGACAAATATGCTATAAAATCAGTTCATAAGAACAAAGTTGTCTTTGTCTTCACATGAAACCACATAAAAAGTCAAATCACAAAAATATTGAACTCCGAGGAAAATTCAAAACGGAAAGTCCCTAATCAAATGGCAAAATCAAAAGCTCAAATACATCAAACAAATAGATAACAACTGTCATATTCCTGGCTTGTTACAGGCGTTTTCATATGTGGAAACATTGATAAAATTGTTTTCTTCGGTATAAATGATTGAGAAATTAAGAAGGTAAAAAAGACAGTATGCATGCAATAACTACAACGTGAATACAGTAAAATTATGATAGAACAGTCATTGATTGCACCAGGGTTTTCGATATCACAAACTAGTCAAAACATTTACTAAATTTTATCATCGGTAAAAGGACATCATTTGTAAATATAAATCAACATGCAGAAATCTTATACGTTCAAGTATTTCACATCAAATATATTTTATGGTAATATTTTATACAAAGCACAAAAATGTCGGCATTCACCTCAAAAGCTACCTAAACCTTTAAACAGACTTATTCAGAAGGTATATAGTTACGATACTGTTGTCGGGTTCTTAAAAATGGCATATTTTGATATTAATATTGATTCACTTATAGGGTCTTTGCATCGGAAATAAACACATTAATTCTAAAACCAGTTGTTGGCATGATAATGGTTATTTTCTTCTCATATATTTTATGATGGTATGATACTAAACCCAAGACGGGAGGGATTGTGCTTGATTTTCATATGATGAAGACATAATCCTTCAATCAGTTTAATGAGATCTGGAGCTGGCATGTCAGTTACTGCTAGTAGTCCGTTGTTAATTTATGTTTCATTGTCATTGTTCTTTCTTTCTTTTGTTACCTATTCTGACATCTGACTCGGACTTCTTTTACTGTGCGTATTGCTGTGTGTTTGTTTATTCTACATTGGCTAGCTACAGTGGTATAGTGGAGGGTTGAGATCCAACAAAACATGTTTACCCCCGCCGCATTTTTGCGCCTGTCCCATGTCAGGAGCCTCTGGCCTTTGTTAGTCTTGTATTTTTAAAATAAAGTTTAGTGTGACGTCCATTTTCACTTAACTAGTACACATTTTTATTTAGAGGCCAGCTGAAGCCCGCCTCCAGGTGCGGGATTTTCTTGTTGTGTTGAAGACCCTTTGGTGGCCTTCGGCTGTTTTCTGCTCTTTGGTTGGGTTGTTGTCTCTTTGACACATTCTTTATTTCCATTCTCAATTTCATTAATTGCTTGCTTGTTTGGTGTATTGATTGATTGGTAAATTAATTGTTTGGTTGGTTGGTTGATTGGTCGATTGATTGATTGATTGAAAAGGGATTTGCTCATGTTACTCCGATCAAAAGTCATAACCATTTGAGAATCCTTTGTTTGTTATTATAATAATAATTTGTATTGCCGTCTTAATTTCACCAATGAAACTTAACATTAAATTTTGCCTTTGTGTTAAATTAATTTGTAAACTTCTTGGAACTCTACAATGGCCGTCTGATTACAATTAGACCCGCAAGAATGTGAAATATGAAAACTTATTTGGCCTTCAATTCCTCGACCTTCTTAATGTGGGTATCTACTTTGTTCAGTTATATTTCGATTTTGACATTTATTTTACAAATTAAACTACAATAAATTTCCGATAATTGTTCTGCATAAAACCCTATGGGAAAGCACATTGACATAATTTTCTAATCGTAAATTAGAACCCAATAGTATGGCAAGGTGTTGCAACCTGTAATGTGAAGACATGCATGACAATGCGGAGTTTGTGAGAAGCTAGCAGCCACTCGGTAGCAGCCACTCTGCTAGCAGCCAGTTTTCCGTTATGTCTATAAACCCAAAAGTTGCATCAGATTTAAACGTACTTCAAATGTTTTTATTAAGATATAACCACTAATTTATCAGGTTTTAATATATAATTAAGCAGTCAAAGACACTATTCAATAAATTTTAAAATTTCATTTCTTGTTCATTTATATAAAGACAACAGACACCGCTTTCAATATATCACACAGCATGCTGCACGCTTTATATTTTTAATAATAGTCAACACTTTTGAGTGTATATAGAATCGTAAATAATTATGAAATTATTTAAATGTTGGCAAAATTACTCTATCGTGTGAAATAGCTTTCCATATTCTCGGCATCCTGTCAAATAGTTCATGAAAAGTAACAATTGCTCTGCATTACAAAAATAGAAAGTTGCACTCGTGCTTTAACAATTTTTTTGCTAGACAACACTGTTTTGACAACACATTCTACTTCTGAACCAGTTGATTTCGCTTACTTTTGATTGGACGACCCCAACTTTGGTCCTACTAAAAAAATCTAAGCAACACAACACCCTGGATTTTTTCTCAAGTAGACCTCATTAACCCAGCTTTCGTTTGAACCTAGTGCGGAAACACGTTTTGACGTAGGGCATTTTTTTATTAATTTTTCGGTAAGGGTGGGGAAGGGTGTCCGACCCAAACTTTGGACCTATTTTAAAACTAATGTAAGCCGAACAACACCCTGGATTTTTTCTTACGTAGACCTCAGCTACTCAGATTCCGTTTCCACCTAGTGAGGAAAAATTGTTTTTTTAAAATTAGGTCCAAAGTTAGGGTTGGACACCTTACCCAACCCTTACCCAAAAGTTAATTAAAAAATTCCCTACGGCAATAATTCTTTCCCAACTAGGTGCAAACAGAAGCTAGGTAGCTAAGCTCTACATGAGAAAAAAATTGGGGTGTAATTCGGCTTAGATTTTGTTTTAAATAGGTCCAAAGTTGAAGTCGGACACCCTACCCCACACTTACTGAAAAGCTAATAAAAAATGCCCGACGGCAACACTTTTCCCCCCACTAGGTGCAAACGGAAGGTGGGTAGCTGAGGTCTACTAGAGAAAAAATCCAGGGTGTTGTGTTGCTTAGATTTTTTTTTAAGGTAGGTTCAAAGATGGGGACCCTTCCCCACCCTTACCGAAAGTTAATAAAAAAATTCCATACGGCAATAATTCTTTCCCCACACGGTGCAAACGAAAGCTGGGTAGCTAAGGTCTACTTGAAAAAAAATCCAGGGTACTGTTTGGCTTAGATTTTTTTTAAATAGGTCCAATGTTCGGGTCGGACACCCTTCCTCACCCTAACTGAAAAGTAAATAAAAAATTCCCTACGGCAATACCTTTTTCCCAACTAGTTGCAAATGGAAGCTGGGTAGCTGAAGTC